GTCACAGATTTCTCAAGAGGTTTGGATAGTTCAATAGTCCTGAATTGCTGACGATCCTTCCACTCCAATAGTGTTGAAATCTCTTCCGAATCCACTGGTTGCTATAGTCCAACTTAGTGTCTCCGTCTGCCCACATATTCACTGCCAACGACTGGCTGGGGTAATTCGTTCTGTCCTCCATCCTCTATCATGGTGCCAGGTGTCCTCTGGAGGCTCCAATGTACTTCCATATCCTCCATGTACATTTGAATATGCTGTCCACTGCTCTGTCTGAGCAACTGAGCAACTGAGGAGGCCCAGCTCTGACACATGCACTCCAGGATCAGACCATGGAAACTGAAACTCTCTTCATGGTTAGGGTTCTGAGTCCAGTGGTTCAGTTAGTAGGGAGTCGCCAAAGAAACCTCATGTGAGGCCATCCCAGACCTGATTCTTGTCTGTTTGCCAATACAGGGTCCGGTACAGTTTGTCACCCAAATCAGCCTACGCACACACTGGTAGTTGGAATTGCTTGATCAGTTCTGTCTTCAGTCCCATGTTTTACATAACCCAGTGGGTGTTGGAGCCCAGCCTGATCATGTCCACCACATACTCGGCCTTTATGCAAACCGGTGGGAGCTGCAGTCTAGTGGGAACAACCCACAAAACCCCCACCAGGCCCGCCTCTGCTCTACATACACTTGCCAGTGTGTACAGCAGACTGGTCCCGTCTGTCCTACATCCATTCAGCTCTCATACATGTTGATAGGCATTGAAGCCCAGTTCGTCCCAACCAGCCCCACTATCCAGTTCACACTGGTACCAGTGGGGGCCACCATCTATCTAGGCAATGCCTGTGCCTGAAGTATTTGGCCCCTGTGCCAGCATCTGCCATCTGATGCTGCAGCAAAGCCCAAGCAATCCACATCCAAACTGGCTTATGCATGTACCAGAAGGCACAGTCAGCCCAGCCTGGCTTTTCCCTGATCCAGCTCACATGTGGGCCATCAGATGTTGTAGCCCTGCCCGGCCTGGTCTGCCCCAATCCCAACTCTCATGCTCACCAGTGGAAGTGGTGGCCCAGTAGTGGAGTCCTCACAGCCCTCACTGGGGCCATCTCCACCACCCCACATGTGCTGGTTGGGCGTTGCAGCCCAGTCTGGCACAGCCCGCCTCACCTCAGCATTTTCCAGTGGGTGCTGTAGCCTGGCCAGGCCCACCCCCAATTCCAACTCACGCTGGTGGGGACTACAGCCTAGCCCAGCCCTGACAGCCCCCAGTCTAGGCCTTCATGTGGACTGGCTGTTTTTGTGGCCTGATGCTGCCTGACCCATACTCCATTGTGGCACTTGGATTTGCCAGTTGGTGATATAGACTGGCCCAGCCTGGCCTGCTCCCAACCTGTGCCAAATGTATGCCAGTGAGTACCGTATATTTTGGCCTGGTCTGGACTGCTCCCCATCTTGGTTCTTGCATTCACCTGCAGGGAGCGTGTTCCAACAGAGGAGTTACCCAAGCTACTCCATCAGGATCTCTCCCAGTGCCAGATCTTGTGCACACTGGTCAGTCCATGGGCCAGCCCTACTTAGTCCACCTCCTGTCCTAGCAGGAACAGTGGCCTTTCTTCACCAGCCTTCACCCATTCCAGTTCTTATTGTTGCACGCTACAGCCCAGCCACGCCTGGCCTGCAGCCAGACACAGCTTACACATGGCTCAGCCGAGGCAGAGACCTGGCCTAGCCTATCCTATACTTAACTTGATTCTCTTGAGCACCAGTGGGTGCTAGATTCTAGTCCAGTCTGGCACATCCCAGGCCCAAGCCACACCCATGCTGAGGGATTCTGCAGCTCTGTCCAGACCAGTTCACAGCCTAGTACCTGTGAGTGTTGGCAGGTTACATGTTCACACCTAGTTCAGCCAGTCCCCACCCCAACTCCTAAGCTAACCAGCAGGACTTATATTTCCATAGGGTTGGGCCCACCTATCTCCCACAGAATCTACTCCTTGGAGCTGGTTCTCTAGTGTGCTGGTTAGTGTCATGGCCCTGCCATTCCCAACAGGGGAATACCTGTCCCCTGTTTCGATATTCAATCAGATACTGGGACTAGCTCTGCGCTGTGATCTATGAAAAAAAAAAAAGCTATGATCTAGATCCATAGCTTTTGTGTGGTCTGGCGTGTGGTTGTACCACAAGCCCATCTCAGGACTCCTATGTTGGCTGGCAAATCAGTCTCACCATTCAGATCTTCCATTCTCTCCCCTCCAACCACCAGGTCTCAGTACCTCACTTCCCAGCAAGTACAGTGGCCCTGTTGTTAGGTGTCCCTCAGGATTCATTCCTCACTTATATGTATGCTGTACATAATCATGGACGTCCCTAGGCAATATTTCATCACCCTAATCCCCCAGAGCCCATCAGCAGGTGGCCAGTGGGCAAAGTCAGGTGCCCGATGAGTGCATTGGCCACCTGAAAAAAGATGGTGTCAGCTGCTTAAAAAAGTAGCTGGGGGCAGGCTGTGCCCTCTGCTCACCAACCAAAACTGGCTCCTTTTAATTTTAAGAGCAGTAAACAGTTAAGCCTTGGAGCTGGCATGGTAGCCTAGTGGCTAAAGTCCTCACATTGCATGTGCTGGGATCCCACACAGATGCCAGTTCTAATCCTGGCTGCCCTGCTTGTCATCTAGCTCCCTGCTTGTGGCCTGGGAAAGCAGTCGAGGACGGCCCAAAGCCTTGGGACCCTGCACCTGTGTGGGAGACCTGGAAGAGGCTCCTGGCTCCTGACTTCAGGTTGGCTCAACTCCAGCCATTGTGGCCACTTGGGGAATGAATCAGTGGATGGAATATTTTCCTCTCTGTCTCTTCTCCTCTCTGTACATCTGACTTTACAATAAAATAAAATAAATCTTTTTTTTTTTTTAAGTTAAGCCTTAATGAGAAACACGGGACAAAATCTTGGATTTTCCTCTGGTTCCTTATTGGCTTGTGTTTTCATCATTGGAAGCAATTTGAGAAAGAATTAGAACAAGATTAACTAATTTTCCTCAGCAATACTCTCTGCCTACAATATAAACTAGAAGGCAAGAAAAAATTTTCAAGGAATACTTTCTTTTTTTTTTAAAGATTTATTTTTATTATTTTTTTTATTGGAAAGGCGGATATACAGAGAGGAGAGACAGAGAGGAAGATCTTCCGTCCGATGATTCACTCCCCAAGTGAGCGCAACGGGCCGATACTATGCCGAACCGAAGCCAGGAGCCTCTTCTGGGTCTCCCATGCGGGTGCAGGGTCCCAAAGCTTTGGGCTGTCCTCGACTGCTTTCCCAGGCCACAGGCAGGGAGCTGGAAGGGAAGCAGGGCTGCCGGGATTAGAACCGGCGCCCATATGGGATCCCGGGCGTGCAAGGCGAGGACCTTAACCACTGCGTTACCGCGCCAGGCCCAAGGAATACTTTCTTAAAGTAGAATATAGTACTACAATTGTACCTCTTTTGAAAATGGAGAAGCAATGGGGAGAAGTCCCTTAAGGATACTTCCCAAATGTGCACAATGACAAAAAAATGGATATTCCATGTCCAAGTCTCCAAAATGGAGGGTCTCAATCTATCTATTCCTGAAAGTTCTAAAAGTTGTAAGCTGAGGAGGAATTGAAAATTAAAGAGCTGTTAGATGAGCCTGAGAGTAGATGGCACAATTTACATTTGAAATTACAGTATCTGTGTCTTTCACTCTTTCTACAATTCTGAATTTCAACTAAAAAGATTTGAATAAAAAGATATGGGACAGAATTTTGTTGCATTGGGTAAAGCACTGCCTGTGATGTCATCATCTCATATAAGTACAAGTCTAAACATTGACTGTTAAGCAGGTGGCCTCTTGCTTTTCAGAGTTTTTAAAGTTAAAATTAAGTATCACTCATGACTTACTTGTACTAAAGTCCAAGAATCCAGTGACACCTGGTCAAGCACTAACCAGCCCTGCAGTGGAGCCAGAACCCAGGAATAGTTTAGCACTGGGTTTTAGCCATACTCTAAGAGTGGAGGAACCAGTGCTTTAGATGGCTGTACAGGTATAACACAGGAATCTTACGGAGTTATGTTTTTGCCTACCTTTCTATACTCTCCTTAGGTCTCTTAGAGACCTTTACAACCATATCTGACTACCTGACTATATCCATTTCCACGGCCTCATGTTCAAAATGGTTCATTTTGTTGTTTTTTTCCCCCCACTTCTCTCTTTCTTTAAAAGTCAGTGAGAAATTCTGCTTGGAGACTTGTTGAGATGGATTACTTTTTGTGTACTAAATTCACAGTTCTCTTTGTTATAACTCTCATTATCATGGAATTTATAATCCTTGTTACACTCCCAGCAAATATATCCATCCCTTTAACTAAAATAGTTCCTCAGGAGATAAGTTCAAAACTCGATAAAATTTGGGATATTTTACAGCTTTGAACTGAATAGTCACAATATTCTTTTCAGCTTAAAAAAATCAGGAATCTATGATATCATATAGAGTCTCTGCGTATTAATTATTTTTCATCCTTTGTGTTTGTTTTCCCAGTGTTTCTCTATGGTGGATGAGTATTCTTTTGTGTATTATAGACTATACCTTCTAAGTTAACAATGCTTTGTCACTCTATTGGTGGAGAGATGAAGAAAATGGAGGTCATATAGAATCTGCTATGGTCAGTACAATACTTACGAATGTAACAAAAATATTACCAGCATTATTGTAACATCTAGATATATTTTATGGCATTTAAATAAGTTATTATTTATTGAGATTAAAAAGGAAATAGCAATAGGATGAAGATTTGCTGGTGAGAATTTCCCTGGACAAAAAAATTTCTTTAAGAGATGGTTAAATTTCTTATGGTAAACTCTGTTCCTTGAAATATCCCAGAATTAGCCAGAGGACATAGAGGTTTGACAATTCTATCCAGTGGAGAAAGGAAACAAGTGCAGGTATTCTGCATGGTGTCTCCAGATCGCTTCACTTGGCCTTACAGTTCTTGATCTTCCTAAACTTGCTCCTTCCCCATAACTTTCCTAATTGCTTTCTTCACATCTTTGTTTCTCAATGTGTAGATCAAGGGGTTGAGAGTAGGGGCCAGAATCATGTATAGTACCGCCAGTGCTTTGCTTTGGTCTTGCGAGTAGTTGTCTTTTGGTTGTAAGTACAAAAACATAATGGTACCATAAAAAAGTGAAACCACCATCAGATGGGAAGCACAGGTTCCAAATGCTTTTTTCCTGCCCTCTGCTGAACGCATCTTCACTACTGCCCTGCCAATGCACACATAAGACGTCAGGATGATGGAGACGGGCATGGCCAGGATGATAAGCCGAGCAATAAACATTTTAGACTCTGTTGGGCCAGTATCCACACAGGACAGTTTAACAATGACCAGCAGCTCACAAAAGAAATGGTCCACACGCCGATTTCCACATCGAGGCAGTACGATAGCCATTGAGGACTGCAGAAAAGAGTTGGCAAAGCCAGAGGACCATGAAGCTGCTGCCAAGAAGTAGCATAGCCTCGGGTGCATGATGCAGGCATAACGCAGAGGCCAGCAAACTGCAACGTAGCGGTCAACTGCCATCACCGCAAGCAGCACACATTCAGTGGATCCAAGTGCCAAGGCCACCCAGTACTGGACCATACAGCCAGCATAGCTGATCTTCTTGCTGCCTCCCCACATGTTCACCAGCATCTGGGGGACAATGCTGGTTGTAAAGCAGAGGTCGAGCACAGAGAGGTTTCTGAGGAAGAAGTACATGGGTGTATGCAGTCGAACATCCAGGATAGAAAGTAAGATGATGGCAATGTTACCCACAAGGGTTATGCTGTAGAATGTCAGGACGAAGAGGGAGAGGACCAGCTCCAACTCAGGCCGGTCAGAGAAGCCCACCAAGATGAAATCTCCACCAGCACTGTCATTGGATATTTCCACTTCCATCACTGAGGATGATCCCATTCCATCTGCAACAAGATTGACGATGCTATGTGGGCAATGAATATATGTAATGAACAATCATGGACCCTAGATATGGTCTATGTTCTGTGGTTTTTTCCTTTTGTTCAATTGACTTCCCCTTGCCATTGGATAAAAACATTAAAGGGCTTATTGCCTTCATTGTCATAAAATATTTCAACCACTTTCAGGTGCAAAAGAATCTAAATCAACTAATATGAAAGGTGACTGCACAGATACTAAAATCTCAGAATCTCATTTATACTCATTGTTGCCCTCTTCCCAAACAGATCTCCTTTCAGGTAATCCCTGTGCTTTAGATGGACCATGAACAACCTGTGTATCTGCCTGCCCCTTCTTTGCCAGTGTTTCAACAGTGATACAAGGTCCTCCTGTTTGGGCCTTGCACAAGGATGAGAAAGGAAGTCCCAGCAAGCTCTTAATCTCCCAAAACAGATTCTTGATTTTCAAGCCTGGAGATGTGTAGTGAGATGATTACTCCTTTAGAGAAAATGTGTGGGTTCTTCAGAAACCCCTTTAATGGTCTAGAGGACATGAAAACCCCTAACCTGAGTTGATGTGTCCCCTTATGACGCTGTTTCCAACACCTTTTGTAACTTATGAGAATGCTAGGTCCTCTTCCAGAATCCTCTTAGTGATTCATTTGTTCCCATGGTTGCTTCTGTAACCCTCCTCTGATACACAGCGACCCCTTTTCATCTTTTGTCTTAAAATTACAGCAGCAACCCCAGTTTGTTAAGCTTTACCGCTGTGGCAGATATTGCCATTTTCTCCTTAAACATCCTGTGCAAAAAGACAGACTGGCTTACAGTGCCTCCTGAGACTACAAAACACATTTACTGAGAATCAAGATGGTGAAATGGATAAGAACACACTTAAACACAGAGAGAATCATTAGCCAGGGTGAAGCAGAGAGTGCCTATGCCAGCAAAAAGGACAGGCCAGGCCAGTGACAAGAGGAGTTCCCAGAGACTGATAGACAACAGTGTGGTGTTGCAGTGACAAAATACCCCAGCAGCAGCCAGTGGTTGTTGATCTGAGCTCTACCAGTGGCCAGAGCTCCACAGGCACCCAGGCGGGAAAGGGAGTTCACCAGGAGCTCAGGAGGTTAACTCAGGCACAGACCTGCCCATTCTGCTGATTTCTTTGATCCAACCAGGAGCAGAGCAGCAGTGCAAGACCAGGGTGAGTGTCACAGTCCAGATGCCCACCAATGTTACATTGGGTACCATTGTGTGTACTGAGGTTCCTAGCTCCTGGCTCCTGTCTCCCAGCTCCTGGTTTTTGACCTGCCCATTTCCCGTCGTTTCAGCCTTTTGGGGCAGTGAACCTTTAGATGGGAGATATCTCTATATCTTCTTCTCTCTCTATAATTCTATCTTTACAATCAATAAAAATAAATCTTTAAAAGATATTCTGGCAATAGGATGCCGGACTCTCTGCCACTGTACATGCCCACGATGGACTTATGACTGTTTATGAAGAACTATACTATTGTAATAATATAGGACCGGGGGGGGGGGATGTGAGGAGGAAGTAAGGGAAATTCTAGGGTCTGTGGAACTGTATCAAAAAATGATAATAATAAGTGGAAAAAATTCTGGCTCAACTTGGAATGATCTTTGATCCTATGGGTCTTTTTCACCTACAGTTTTAGAATTGTAATAGCATAAATTATTCTTTTCATGATTATCTTAAAATGCAAAATATCATACCTGTAAAAGTCAATGTGAAATGTTATTCTCTCAATAATTACCATTTGTGTAGTAAGAATGGTGATCACATTTCTCAAATGCACATTCCAGGCTTAGAAATGTACTTTGAGTGCATTATCTCAATTGATATTTCTATGTAACACTGTTAATATTAAAGTTTCATTTTATAGAGTAGAGGAATAAAGCTTTCAGTGACTTAGTCCTAAAACCAAGGTCACATTTTCGCAATATGGTAGAACTAGCACTCACAGTCAACTCTGATTAATTCCCAAACACATAATCACTAATACGCTACAACAGTGCCTGCATTATTTTAGGTAAATGTGCGTATAACCTCTTTGTAGTTATATGTTTAAGTGCCCTGCACCTAAAAAACAGATACTTTATAAATGTTTGCTGGGGTAATATAGAATTAGATCTGCCAGAGTATATGGCATTCAATGAAACAACTGTCATTGCTCAGAACTGTAACAAGTGACAATCTTGTGTACGCACACACACACACACACACACACAAATTATATATAAAGTGGGATTTTTTTTTTAATTAAAAGGACCTTCAGGATATATACCTTTTAATTTAAAAATCCAACTTTCTAGAACCTTGAAAGGATTCATGGTCCAGTTTTATGTTTATGTAGGGTCTAAATTTGCCACTTCAAGTAAAAGCACAACTTGGCTTTTCAGACCTTCCCAGCATCCAGAGAGATTGAAAACAAAGACACACACTCACCTTCACAGACATTTGTCAGTCTGACATGTTGAGGACCATATTCTAGTCATGGTCTCCTTTCACATGGAGAAAGAAAAAGTGAGGCTATGTTAGAGCCGTGCAGGACACATGGATCTCACCATGCAAGCAGGCAACAACAGAGCTTTTATCCAAGACTGTTTATCATCTTTCACACAGCGCAAAAGCTGTCTGCCACAGCAAAATAGGATCAGGGAAATGAATTGGGATTTTGCAATTCCACTAGAGCACCCCTTTGCTTTTTCGTTCTATTATTCTTCCTGCTTCTTTCTACAAACCATTTTGCTTTGCACCTTTCTCAGAAACGTTAGCCATCAAATCATGTCCTCATCCCATCACACACATCCCATGGTGTGAGAACCAGGTGTTATACTGATATCTTTTGTAAAACACTGACGGATCTCAGGGGTTTGTACAGCTTATGCACCCAGGGTTTGCAGTGGCTCAGGCAGTTATTGGCAGCTCTTAGCAGAGTCTGGCTACTGTGCCCAAAGACCCTCAAAATTGATCTAATGTAGCAGCTGGGATTTCTTTCTTTCCCAAAGATTTACCTTAGCATTGCAAGGACTTTTTATACCAAGTTCCCAGAGAACTGCGAAAAGGGAAATTACCCCGCCCACCGAGCCCACAAGCAACCTACTTGTTTACTCAGAAGTAACAAGTACTTTCCAGTTCCTCTGAAGTTTCATCTGAATGAAGCAACCCAAAGTGACCAATTAGTACAGAAAAGTCAAAGACCCTGGAGAGACACAGGTAGCAGGGAGGGTGAAGTACCAAGGGGATTAAAGCTAGCTTGTATGCAATATTCACTTTTCAAGTTTTACTTTTAAAAATTACTAAAACTATGTTTTTTAAGTGTTAAATAGTATTTACATGACCATAAGGATCTTATTAATTCAACCAGAAGGAACACTAATATATAAGGCATTTAGGTGACAGAAGAAAGAAGAGGCAAAAATAAAAGAAGGCCAATTTTAATGATATACTAATTTTCTAAATCATTACAATAATAACTGATATTGTTATGTAGTATATGTGATAATGATTCTTGGTTAATTTATGCAAACATATTCATAAAAACATGAAAGCAAAGTTAGATTGCAAAAGTATATACTTTATCTGGAACAACCTTTACTTTAGCCAATTGAAATCACGTATTTGTCATTTTCATACAGATTTCCTAGGTTAAGATTAAGGAGATACTGTTTGCTAAATTATGCTCATATCTAATTTTTAAAAGGTCACTTGAATTTAAAAAATAAATACTTAACAATATTATGTGAGGCAATAATCAGCAATCACATATTTCTCAACTGATAGAAAAATCTATTTGTACACAAATACCTACATATGAACTTTTCTAGACAAAGCAATGTTATCAATGGTTTTCTCCAATGAATTAAGGATTAAAAACAATTGTACATTCAAATTAAGAAATTCACATGTTTTTTTTCTTGGTTAGCATTTTTTTTTATTATATTTTGACAATCTTAACATAGTTAATTAGGGTAAAAAGTTCAAGGGCTACAGGAAAGTGGGTAAGACTATTATTTTTTCCATATTGTTTCCTTCATGTTTAAAGGGGGGTATTAAGGGAGAAGGCCCACCCAATTTCCCACCCTCCCCAGGTCCCGGATGTAGGGCATGCTCTGAGGTTCTTGCTGAAGTGGTTTTGATAAGGAAATTCACATGTTATAAAGTGATTTTTTTTTTTAATAAAAGACAGGCTTTAGGTCAGGCAAAGACCTAGATGAATGTTGTCGATTACCAGCAGGTACATGAAAAGATGCTCAGGACCATTCGCCATCTGGGAAGTGCAAATGAAATTTTTTTAAGATTTATTTTCTATTGGAAAAATCAGATATAACAGAGAGGAGGAGAGACAGAGAAGAACATCTTCTGTCCATTGATTCATTCCTTAAGAAATGGCTGGTGCTGAGCCAATCCGAAGCCAGGAGCCCAGAGCCTCTTCCAGGTCTCCCACGCAGGTTAAGTGTCCCAAGGCATTGGACTGTCCCCACCTGCTTTCCCAGGGAGCTGGATGAGAAGCAGGGCTCCAGGATATGAACAAGTGACCATATGGGATCCCAAAGTGTGCAAGGCTAGGACTTTAGCTGCTAAGCTACTGTGCTGGGCCCAGAAATGCAAATAAATTTAATAAGATTTCACTTCACTTAATAACAAATGATGACAAAGATGTTGGCAAAAGGTATCCTAATGCATTGGCTGTGGTAACGTAAACTTAGCGTACAACCATTTTGGGAGATAGTATGGAGATTCCTCAGAAAATTTGAAAATAGATCTACTATATTACCAAGCCGTTTCACTCCTAGTAATTTAGCCAAAGGAAATATTGGCTTTTGAATGGGTTATCTTCACCCTCATGTTTATAACAATTCATTTTACAATAGCTGAGATATGGAATCAACCCAAAAGTCCAACAACTGATGTCTGGATAAAAACATTATGGTATACAGGACCTGGCACCGTGGACTGGCAGCTAAAGTCCTCGCCTT